ACTGAATGGCCAATAAAATCATTTGAAAAGTGGATATTTGGAAGCTGGGAAATAACTTAAGAATTATTAGACCGAGCTTACTAACAAATGCTAGTAACATCTTAATTATTGGAGTTAGTATTTATTGAACTCAATTATTGATGTTGATCAGTATTATCTAGGAGTTTTTTTGTAATTTACCAATTAAATTAATAATTTCATGTAAATAATATAATTGTTAAATTAATTGTTTATTAATTTGTTGTTGTTGTTTTATTGTTTAATTTAATTAAACATTAAAAAAATCTTTATACTCAAAATTATTGTAAAAACTACGCATACCATTCAAAGTTTTACATAATCTGTTATACAATGTTTTGCTAAAGACAATCTGAATTGTACCTTTGGAAACGATATATTAACCTAAATGCCACTAATAAACGTTAACTATGAAATAAACAAGGGGTTCATATGGGTTTTAATCTGTTTTAATATCGATATTGCCCTTAAGCAACAAACAATAGTGTTTTATACATTTCATTTTGTTTACAATCGTGTCAAATAACTTCTTCATCAGCATTGTACGTGTTATTAAATTTACGAAATGTAAATAAAAGAAACGTCAAATAACACTTAAAACATATATTCACGCTTATACTGCTACTCACAAGACGGTAAATATACACAAAAAATGGTAAGTGGAGATCGATTTCGATTGGACACTCCAATCATCATTAGACCCAATAGGCGATAGTCAATCGAAATCGATCACCACTTACCATTTTTTGTGTATATTTACCGTCTTGTGAGTAACAGTATACGCGTAAATATATGTCTTAAGTGTTATTAGACGTTTCTTTTATTTACTTTCCGTAATCGTGTCAAAATAATTATTTGGTGAGTTTTACGGTATTTTAATTCAATTACAATTTTTAAGTATCACACCAGTGATGGGCATTGAATCGGTTTTAAGCATCGGGTTGGTGATATTTTTAGTGGTTAGCGACTCAGACTTGGGTGCGGGAAGGACAGTTTAGGTCTCCAGAAATTCCCGAGCGTTTTAGAAGGTTGGATCCACGGCAAATCATAATTTTAATTTCTCTAACAAAGACGCTTAACGTAAATAATCTAATATAATTAAAAAGTGTAGGTCCTGTAGTGAGATTAATTATTTCTTACCATCATGAAACAAGCGTTCAACACTTTTTATCGCTTTATAGCTGAAGTGCTCGTATAAACGAATTTTTAATGAAGGCAAGTGGACAATTGATGAACTGGATGATCATTGTTGTGGAGGTCCCATGACAATGCTGAGTCAACGACACAGCTTGCCCGCGACCTTGTCCTACTTCACCTCACTATACAACACAGTACACTCGTCTACTACCACTACACGGTCTTGACATTTCCTATCAATCATCAGGCCCGCCTCTACCACGTTCAACACTTCTAATCAATCGCCGATCGCGGTAATTATTATTATTAGGGAAATATTAATATTGATTATTCCATCATTGAAAACCGGATAAATCAAGGACGTCACGGATCATTTGGCGAAAATATAAAGACCTGCCTCTGGTTGCTGCAGTGCTTATGAAGGTTCGTGTATATGAATTTCTATTAAAATTTAACTGGCTAAGTGGCATTTCAGTACTGTTAATCAGCTATTTTTAGATTCACACGCAACTAACTGACTATTGCCTCATTCCTGACTTTTTACCTAGATACTAAATTAAAACCAACCTGGGCTTTATATTTCATAATTAGGTAAAAACCTAAATATTTTACGAAAATGGTAATGCAACTACGTAAGTAGTATATTCTAATAAAAAAAAATTATTCTAAATTGCACATCAAATCCAGCCTATTTCAACAATACATACCAAATTTTTTAAATTTAATTAAAAAACTGGGAAATGATCCACCTCCAGAAGTGTTGTGTAGTTTTTAACACGATTAACGTTAGAAAAGTAAAAATAACATTATATCATAAAAATTACATATTACAGACTGCATTTTCAGCAAAATATATTTTAATTACTTTAACCATGCAATAGTACGTTTCTTCTTGTTTGCATTAGTGGTGAAAGGTACCAGTTTTAAGTATTGTTGGAGTTTGACAATGTTATTGACGCACGGTCAGTATAGCATATAAACAAACACATCAGCTGTGCAACTGTTCTAAACATTTTTAGTACCCAAGTAACATTGACAGAGCTTTAGTAATAAACTAGTCGGACATCTCAAAACAATTTAACAGGCGTGCCCGAGGTCCAGGCGGATGTTTCAAAGGGCTCGATAAGCTTTTACGTTGATATGAGGAGAGCAATGACAAGAGCCGTAAAGCTGTTGGTCGTCGGATTGCTCGGGCAGGGGTTCTCGCGGGCCACGGGCCACAAAGGGCGAAAGTCGGTCACACTTCGCTTTACTGCCAAAGTTGTAAAAATTATGGCTTCCGGGTCTTCACACGACGTGTGGTTGGTGTTGAAGTGCCCGGGTGTGTCGGAAGTAACCCCCTCCCCCCTCTGTGGGTAATCAATTTACGCCAACCCAATTTTCGTTTTCAAATGGTTTGGCCCACTTAACGTAATTGGTGGAGTCAACTGGTTTTGCTGTACTCTTCAAGAATAATTTTTTTTTTATTCCGACGTATTTCACACTCTATAAAACTGTATTATATGAGAAAATCAAGTTACACATTAAAATGTTTAGTAAAATGTTTAATATCTTATCATATTTGTAAACTACTGTTGAGCGTAGAACTCTCTATAATTTTAAATAGGGACAGCTTCTTGGGCTTGGCTTGGCTTGGGCTTCTTTCCTTTTCGTTGAGGTTTCGGGGCTGAAAACTTCACCTGACCTTCAACTTGTCCTTGGGGCTGTCCTGTGAGGTAGCCCTGAGCTCCTTGTTGGAAGGAAGGTTGGTTGGACATCTGAGGCACTCCGTAACCTCCGACAGACATTGGAAAACCTTGGAAACTGGGGAAGGAGGGTGTGAAGTCATGAGGGGAGATCATCATGGGCATTGGGTTGTACATGCTGGGCAAGTATCCCATACTAGTCTGAGGCATGTAGCCGTAGCTTGGCTGCTGTAGTTGGTAAGGCTTGGCACTCTGCTGTTGTTGCTGGAAGTACGCTTGCTGCTGGGGGTTGAACTGCTGCTGTTGTTGCTGAGGCTTGAACTGCTGCTGAGGCTTGAACTGCTGCTGTAGAAGGAATTGGTTCTGTTGAGAGTCCGGTGATTGGTAGCCTACAGACACCTGGCTGTCGAAGCCTTCTTGAGGATTGAAAGATCCTTGATAAGAGCCTTGCGCCGGATAGTTTTGTGGGTTTTGGAATCCTTGAGTTTGACCTGTAAACATTTCATTATGTCAATCCCCATATGTAAGTGCCATTCTTATTTTCAGACATGTTGGATTCGTTCTTTTAGGAAAACAGAAATAATACGGATTGATTTAGTCATATCTATTACTTTATGGTCGGCATTTGTTGAAGATATATTACAATTCAATATCCATAATATTTGACTAAAACATAGGAGCACAAAACATTTACATTCCTTACACGAACAATCTAGCATGCATGGTTTACCTTCAGGAAAGTATTCTGAGGCGTATTGTTCTTGGTCCTGCTCCTGGCTTGGTTCAGCATCCTCATCGTAGGGTCCTTTAGAGCTTTGTGAGTGGGCGGGTCCAGGGGGAGGGGCCACAACCAACCCAACCAAGAGCAGAGTGAAGGCCTGGATGGACAATGAAATAAACATTTTCTCATAGAATTGCTTAGTTAACCCACAGAGAAGTAACATATGTAAGATGTATATTTTACTATACCGTTGTTAACTATAAAATGTTGTGGTTATGTTATGTTATTATGTTCATACTTCATAAGGAAATATGAACAAGCAACGCCTTTATAGATGTTTATAGTGACAACGTATAGGTTACCTAGTTATAGGTTATCTATCCAAGTTTTTCTGGAAAGAAACATCACTGTAAGAAGTATTTTCTATCGGACTGAAGTCAAAATGCGATCGCATTCATTTCATTCTTTTGACCGGCTTTAAACACAGCATTAAAATTTAAATTATTTATTGAGTAATTTAATTAGTATGAAAATTCTTTCAAGCTTGAGAAATTTAGAAAAACACATTGTATTCAATATAACCAAATATTACTTTCATTTTTGATTTAGGATCGTGAGCAACTGTTTGACTCCTGATAATCCTAAATTATCCAAATTGTGTAAATACAGATAACTCATCTCGTTCACTACATTTTCTCATAAACTGAATAACTACCATATACCCGATATCTTATTGTATAGCTTAGGTTTATCACATAATATTTTATGTGTAGTTAGGTTTTAATTTAACAACGAATTCCAAATTTAATTTAAGACTTTTAATTAAGGGTAATTGGTTATATCAGCAATTTTTTTGTCTAATAAGCTGATAACTGGGTGAATCAACAATGACGGTTAACCCTTTCTTTCGAGGGGTTCTGATATCTGATCTGTAACGTATTACGTAGTATTACGAGCAGTAAACTTACCAAAGTACGGGAATCCATGACTGACTGTCCCCCAGTTGCCACATGTTGCCTCTTATACCTACAATCTTTGACAGCTAATGATCTCAGAAGTGACAACCACGTCACTTGTATGTCACTTTGTTGGTCTTCCACAGCTGTTAACACATCTAGTTACCCGACCTTGCGAATTAAGTGTATGTATGACCTATCCATTATTTAATGAACAAACGTACCTTTAATCTTAACATAAGCCTAATGTAAACTTAGTTAGTATTATTTTGAAGCAACACTTTAAAAGGTGAGATATTTTTGTTAATTGTCAAACACACTCATTTGATATAAATAATAAAATGATCAAGAGGATTAGGTACCAGTAAATAGCAATAAGTAGATTTTATATATAATTCCAGAAAGATAAAGCAATAATTATTAATAAATTGACAATTTCTTACTTTTTAAACTAAATCTTAGCTTTTACGTTTTAACCCCATTTATTTTGCAGAGAGATTTTTTTACTTATGCCAATATATGTAAGCATTATATACACTAATTGTTAATTTACTTGACTGGTTCACATTTTTACTGAGGGTGAGGTTTCTGAAGGTGTAGATGTAGATGTCTCGTTGCCAGTTCCTTCCCATCTATCTGGCCTACACTCTCCTCTTTCCCTGGATCTCCTGCTGTAGCCTCTGTGTGATGACACCCCTAACTCTTGGTCAGTCACTAGTCCCTTTACCGCTAGATCCTCTATGTCCCTGCCCCGGTTGACGTCCGTGTTTCCTGGAGGTCTCATAGGGCCTTTACCTCTACCCGGGCCACACCCGTGGTGTCCGCGATGTCTACGAGGACCACCACCCCTCCTACGCCCAGGTCTGTCCGGTCTGATTGTACTGCTGCCCTCGACGTCGGTCTGGGTACCATTTCCGACGTCATTTGTAGGTCCAAAATCTTCCGCTTGTCTTTTGTAGAGTTTTCTTATAGACTCGGATAGGGTTCCACCAGAGTTTGTAAGATAATGTTCTTGGATTGATGTTGTAACAAGCGCAGGTAAAGTTTCAGGTAGAAAAACAGCTACAAAAAATATAATCTGGAACAGACATAATTACATGGACGTCTACGAGTATATATCAAACGAGATATGTAACTTTTAACTTCTAAGGAATATTAACCTAATTTTTATGTTATTTCATCTTACCCCAAAAGTCAATGTTACAGACCACCACTCCCCCCCCCCCAATTTGTGGTTTAACATATACCTATCCTTCCGTTAGAATGGATATCGTTGAATTTTCTTGTAACAGTACTCTGCGAAAACGTGGGTTTCGCCCTTTTGAATCAAACTTTTCAGCTAAGTTAGATTTCAAATGTTTCTGTAAAAGTGCTAATTCTAAAACAAGAACTTAAGTTAAGTTTTACACAATTAATTAAGTTTTAATAACTAACTGTAAAATACGCCATTGCTTTTTTACACTTATTGACCCAGTCATGAAGAAAACTTTTAACGAAATTCACGGGTATGTTTGTATTTATGTCAAACATCCTACAGTAGGCTGTAATAAAAAAGGGTTGGACGAGTAGTGAATTATCCAGTAAACTTGAAATTATTTAAAAACGACTATTTTATGGAGTCTAGTGCCGAACTGGCCGAACTTGAAACTATACAGTAGTTTAGAAGATGTTTTATAATTTTTTTTCTTTTTTTGTCAAATTCTCATGTAATGTTTTTACGATTTGCTTTCGACGGGTCACAGCTTCTAGGCGTTTCTAAAAAAAGTTCTGAATAAAATTAATAAGGAAGATGAAATAGGTAGTAAAATGCAAGCATCGACTTAACTATTGATTTTACAGGAAAGGGCCAATTATTGCTTCCGAATTTGATAAAAACATAAATTATTTTACTTAATATTAGATATACAATATCTCGTCAGGCAGCAATGACGATGTATGTGATTCACAAATACTTTCCATAATATTGGGATTAATAATGAAAAAAGTGTAGGCTAAGTTTTAGACCAAATTCTCATATTCTAAATGGCGTAAATAAAAATATTTTTATTAATCGAAAAACATTGAAACGCCGTTATGAGTGTTTACAGTACTGTTCACGTTTAATCGTTAATTACCAGGTTATATAATCATCAATTTCCTTTAAACCTTTTCATCTGATTCGTCTGTTTGTTTTTTAATACCATGATTATAGGAGCGGAGAGTAATGAATAGTACAAAAAATTTCGTAACGAGAATCTCCGAGGATCATTTTGTCACAAGGACATGTGCTAATTCTTAAATCACAATGGGCAAAAGATAATCTTCATTTCACTATTACGTTGATAAGTTTCATAGGGACCTATATGTCCGCAACATAAGTAACAGCATATGTACCAAAGGATTCGTCCATAGCATTTGTGTGCTATGGACGAAGTTTACATATATATTGATATCAATCTTGAATAACTTGTCGTTTTCTCATCCACAGTCGGGACTATTTACGTTGAGCCACAAAGCTATAGATATCAAATTAGTTTATGCACTGTGAGTAACGGCGTAGTATTGTATCACAAACAAGTAGTCCTTATGAGATGACTACTGGTTTCTCTGTAGCAGTACTTTTTAGCGACAAAACCACTATAACCAACAATGTATTATTTAGTCCTATATCTCACACACTTATACCTTGAACTACTGAAGGTACTATTGAGTAAATTATATCCTAAGTATAAGATCTATATCAAACTCTAATAGAATGAAATTGTTTACTAGTCAACAAGAAATTAAGTCCTTTGTCAAGACGCATATTTTTATTGCTATCTAAAAAAATCTTTATTTGTAAAGTTGTTATTTAATTAGTAGTATTTTACCTAACATAAACAATATTAAGTCTTGCACGAGACGAGAGTCGGTACACTTAGTGGACTTAAACCTCAGAGAAGGAATATTTATATTACTCCTCTGTGCTAACACTCACCGGTATGTGGTCCATCCCTGCTGTGTGTGTGTGTGAGTGTGTGAGTGGGCCACGTCCGGTGTCTGCGTCTGTATCCCACCTCACTTCCGTCACAAGTAACTGCGATATCACATTTCCGGTCACCTCATCTGTGTCATCATGACCTTTCCTGTACCATTGTTGGATATGATATCAGAATCACACTTTTCCTGCATTAATAACATTAAACAAATCATAACTTGCTAAATATGATTCGGTGGTTTTTTATCCACCATCGTCAGACTTACAAAAGGATCAACTTTCTTCAGGTGCCGTCAAAATAAATTAGGCATATTTTACACAAAACACAAAAATGATTAATTATAGGCCTATCATAACTTTTGTATATTTCGAATTCTTCCAAAGTATTTAATAAATTTCCTTTCCCATAGTAATGTAGAATATCAAGACCATCACTTATATCTATTATATCATTTTTATTGTCGATGATGTGTTGAGCGAATTAAGATTTCTGTTTTAGCGAATTTCCCTATAGGGAAGTAGCTATTACCGTAGGTCTCATGGTAAGACTTAGGCCCGGGACCGATTTACTTTTTCATTTCGATGTCCCCAGAGGCCAAAAACACCATTCGTTCAAATTTTTATATATGTATATATATATATATATATATACTAGCTGACCCGGCGAACTTCGTATCGCCTAAGTTATAGGTTTCCCCTAAGACAGACCGATGGAAAGAAAGTACCGTTACGTTTAATTTTCAAGATGATCTCGTTCGCATCGCTCAATCACGTCCTGGTTGAAGTTCGTTCGCTACGCTCACTCACCTTTGGGTTGGAGCTCGTTCGCTACGCTCACTCACCTTTAGGTTGGAGCTCGTTCGCTGCGCTCACTTGCCTTCAGGTTAGCTCGTTCGCTACGCTCACTCGCCTCCAGGTTGAAGTTCGTTCGCTACGCTCACTCACCTTTTGGTTGCAAATTAGCTGTTGTCATAAATGTAAAAGAAATAATAGTGCTGCACCCTGTTGGTAATCCTTGTAACTTTAATGCTATTGAACATCATAGAACAGAACCAACTTGTTTAATTGAAACAGCTGTTAAGATTCATTAATTCCATTTCTCATAAGGTTAACATGGGAAACTCCAGAGCCACTGGGGCGGAGCCCTTTTAAGAATTTCGAAACGGGAAATAGTTTACTTCCTATTCGCATACCTACAGAATTTACACACCAAATTTCATAACGATCGGTGAAGTCGTTCCGGAGGAGTTTGCAGACAAACACTGTGACACGAGAATTTTATATATTAGATATATATATATATACATATATAGATTTATATATATATGTGTCCGTGAACGCGATAACTTGAGTAATTTTTATCTGATTTTGATGAAATTTGGTTTGAAGGTGTAAGGCGGGATAAACTTGAATGAGTTCGCGATCCAGCATGATCGGACCATGGGAACAGGGTTTTATGGGGTAAAAGTTGGTTTTTCTCACTTTTGACCCTCAAAACACAAAATTTCCCAATTTTTCTCTAAACCTCCTTAAAGAGCTTAAAAAAACAAACAATTCAGTATATCAAAGTGTTTTTTTACGGTTATTGGTTACGGAGAAAACTAAAAAAATTGTAAATTTAAAATCCCCATGTTATTCTTATGGAGAATATTGTAAAATGTTGTAGTTTGCTTGTTTTTGGATATCTTTTGATCAAACTTGGCAAATATATTCATTTTATACTAAGCAATAATTATTTTACTTAAAACACACACTTTATTAGTTTCCTTGTAGCAGCAAACCTAGGTACTCGTTAAACCTAATTTTATTTAAATAGATCAATTGAAATTTAATTCAGAAAAATGGAAATTCGCTTAGACAGCAGGTTAGCTGCGGCGGGGGTATTTTTAGTTCGATCGGTGCTTTTTTACCTGATTTGTAAAAGTTTACTTTGGCCTGCATTGATTCTTGGGCAGTCGGAACATTTTATTTATGTGGTATACACCTGGGGCTATAGATATTTATCAACTTGTGGATGTCTACCTTAAGATATGTTTCGTAGCCGATTAGAAGTCTTAAAAGTCAGTTTAACACCATGTTTACTCAGATCTTTCTTCAAGTAGTTGTTTATTTGGTGGTTATACTCAACCCAGCAATACATTACTTAATTATTATCAATATTTGTTGACTTGTGACTTGTATTGTTATTTTAATTTATAAAAATATCAGATCTGTTTCCATTGGCCACGACAATGTGCTTGATTATATTATGTCCCTTTGTGTAATTTTTCGGACTTAGTGGGACATTTAGAAGTTTGTAGACCATTGAGTTGTAGGTGGCCAGTTTTCAGATTATCGTTGACAAGTTGTGCTATAAATTGTTTTCTTCGACAATATTGGTCTGATGTTGTGGGTTTACGGTAAATGCTGTATTCAAATTTATTATTGCGTTTCTTCTATTGTTCTATAAAAATCCAAAGCTCTAAATTGTTGTCTATTGCGCGTGCTGCATGAACATCTGCCTCATAAATCTAGAAGAATGGTTAGTTCTGGTTTTGGAGGCATACAAGATAAAGTGTCTTATTGGTATTATAAATAGAGCTGCCAAGGATTCAATGTCGCAGCAATTTAGTTACACGTGACTTCAGGTGTGTTGTGGAAGGTATTCGTGTCTAGTGCGAGATCGCGCCTCTGTTCTTGTAGAGCTATCTCGTGTGAGCAGTTTCCTTCATCCTGTTTTTAGGGTAAATGTTCCTGCAACCATAGATAAAACATACTCCGTTTAAGTTGGTAAGAACATGGTTGTTATAAGGGTGTGGTTGAGCTCAGAGTATAACAGCATTAGTTGAGTTCATGCTTTCAAGTTAGGTATATGAGTGCAAATTTAGGACTTGCGTGTATTTTGTAAGACGTGTATAATGTAGAACTACAAGAGTAATTTTGGTGTATTAGCAAGATAGAACACAATTGTCCCTGTACACTGAATGTTAAATAGTCAATGTGCTGTGTTTGTCATCCCTAATTTCTCGTCTTAATAGTTCAAGCGTGTTTAGATATAAAAATACGGTTTATTTGTTTATTTATCTTCGCCAATGTATGCATTATGCCAATATGTATCATATCATCAAGTGGTAACCATCAACGAGTTATAAGACTTAGCACACAGGTCAATAACATAGACATTTAACAACTCTCACGTATCTTACCTGCTTCAATACCCTCTAGCTTTGTGGACCTCTTTCATTGTACTATGCAAAAGTCTTTAATAACTTAGTTTTTTCGTGTGAACAGATAATATTTCCCGCGTCTGCGAAGCTACCTGTTGTAGTTGCGACACTGTTTGAGACAGTAATCATTTATCAAATGGCAGGCCCATTACAGTCAGAGCCATCAATCATTTCATCGCCTCACTCTAATGTGTGAGTGTCGAGTGACGAGTGACGAGTGGCGTTGATTGCTACAAGTGTGATAATGTCTGGTATCTGCCAGGACCAGCTGTTGCGGCCTTCATGTGTCACTTTGGTATTGCTCAATGTCGCTTACAGGATAAGTGTCACCGCGTCACGTCGTCTTGGATTAGGCACAGCTAAATTACTTGAAGGGCTTATTAAAGTCAATCTGAATACAATTTTGCCGTTTTTAATCAAATACAAGTATGTCAAATTGCGTATCAGGATAACTGAATGGCCTTATGGCATATTCTGCGACATAAATCTGTAAAATTTTTCTGAAAGTTTTTTTCTTTGGTTTTTTATTTTCAAAATTCTAACCAAATTAGTTCTTAAGAAGGAAAACATATATGTGTTTATAGGCCTGTGACTTAATTGGTAGTCACCAGACTCCCTATTTGTAACCTGATAAATCACTTAATGAACATCTATTTGGTTGATATTTAAATTTTCATAAATCATCTATGTAAATATTTACATATTAATTACTTTCAAAACCCGGGCTGCTTAAAATTAAGTTAAGTCCAACTGTACATATGTCTGCCTGTAATATAATTTAATGATTCCATCTGTTCTTGATGACTATTAATGGTGATGACCAATTAACATACTTAGATTCAATTGTGAAAAATGTTTTGTTATGTTTTTAACATTTTAATATTAACGTTTCATTTGTATTTAAAGCGGTTTTTTTTATTAAAATCATACCAAACCATGTTAGAAAATTACTCTTAAAATAACAAAGAAGAACATAAATTTATCTTTAAAAAGAGTCGTTAGTTTTAGTTAGTTTTGATTGTAATTCCAATAAATCTATTGATATTTCATGGTAGTTTCGTTGAAACCCTAACCTTTTTCGAACATGATGAAACTCATTTGTGGCATCCTGCACTTTTAATGGATATTTTACGTCTCCGGTAGATGCTTAATCAATCACTTTCTAACCTCGTAAAAAACAGAAATCGTCAATCTTATCCTTTTGAGACACATTAACCTAGTTCCAAACTGATGTAGTTTTTTTTCTGTGAAAGGTAATTAAATAGGTTACTTAAAGTTCCATAGAAGTTACATTGAACACGTATTTATACTCACGAAAATTATAATGGCTGCAGTATTAAATTGACCATTGTTATTACACAAAATAATTAGTAGTTTAAATTAAAAGTAAATGTTTTAGACATTTTGGATCACAGATTAGTTGTTTGTTTCCTGTAGTAGTATTCAATTTTGATTGTATATAATATCTGAATATAATCAAAAGTTTTTAGTCTATTTTATTAATTTGATTTTGTTGATATTATTATGCTAGTTTATTTCTGGTATAGAGGAAGAGAAGTATTTTTCTTTAAGCCGTAGAAACATTCAAATGTCTAAACACTAAGTAACAACTATTTTAAAAATACTGGAAAAGACAAAGGAAAAGTCTTTATCCGGAAGAATACAATGTAATTGCATTTACAAAACACACGTAAGGAACATCCATGTTTGAGGTTGATTTATGAAGATTATCGAAAATTAATTGTCATGTTTCTTCATTGTTTGTTTTATCAAATTCATTTAATATAATACAAACATTTTAATTTGCATTATACGGCGGTGCCAATGAGTTAGTGACAATAAAATACTGATTAACCTAAATATCAACCCAATGTGCACGATATTAATAAGGTAATGTATTTATATATTTTGTAAAGTGTATCTTATAAATATATAAATTCTTCGTGATATAATTTTAGAAACACCACGAACCAGTAAGGCGCATTAAACTACTGTGTATAAAATTAACGACAAAATTATTGTCTTATGTCAACATTAGTTACAGCCGCACTGGACCCGTGTTTTTCTCAGCCGGCGACTGACTCAGCAAGAAACCTATTAACATTGGACTTGTCCAATAAATACAGTTTTTTGACCGCGACTCCGTTGACCGGTTGTCGAGGAAGTTGAAGATCACTTTCACTGTCCGTAAACGCTGCATCTCGCACCTGCTGCTTGGTGCTGAGTAGACAACACTGTGATCAGTAGTGTAACATACGCTCTCATATCACTCCCACTACGAGATGTTGCTGGCCTTTATTTACACATTTAGGTTTTGATTCGTTTTCAAGACATCTTATAGGTGTATCGTAAAGCTCATAATATAAGCAAAATTTACCCTTTTTTGTATTTTATACATTTGATTAAACAGCATAGTTTTCTTCATATCATGTGTTTTTCCATTAACTGGCTTTCCTATAAACTCAACACGTATTTTAAAATATTTGCAGTATTTTCTTAAAAATAAATTACAAATGCCTAATAATCCTGTAGACAGTGGCCAAAGTAAAAAACTTAACAAAAATAATTATTTTCTTGAACCATATTTGTATCCAAACGGTATCCATTTATATAAAGTAGGTTTTAAATATGTTATCCTCATTGCAACCCGTACAGATAGGCATACTGAAAACAAAATGACAGAAAATTTTGGTTCTCATTCTCGACCAAGCTAAAGACACGAGTCTGAATGTGTAGGGTAGTTAAAATTGATTATTAACCAATAATAAAACTACATGGTTTCGTGAATAATTACAAATTATTAATTTATGACAAAGTTGAGATTTGACTAGTCCCTGAATGATGATAATTTTTCAGTAACAGCCATTTCAATCGTGTGGGTGTTTTACAATCTTTTAGTTTAATGGATACATGAACCACATGCCACTAACATCCCTTGAAAGATGATTGAAATGACTAATAATGTGTCTTCATTACGATATAACAATCTTATATAATCGGCTAAGAATAAATATGTTGTAATACCTCCTAATCCACTTTTTTATTGCAATCATCAACCATACACTTCAAATCAAAATTATTTTATGTTTTGCTTATAATATACAAAATGTTTAATTCCACTTAAACCAATCATTCTCTGAAAAAGGTTGTTATTACAATTATATTACTAACTCTTACTTTGTGTTTCAGCTGTGACTGTCCGTTACCTGACGAAGAGATACATCGGCGAGTACAGCTCCACCACAGGTATGTAGCGATATTTGTTTATGGTGACGCTATAACAATTTATTATACCCTGTATGTGAACCATAATACAGTAGCAATGCTGGCTGCACAGTCACAATTTATTTGCTGGCAGGAAGATTGTTACGGACAATAAGGCATGGAATTATTTTAATTATTACCGAAACAAAAAAAGACATTAGAAAAACCAATTGTATTAATTTTATTTATGCTAAATCACTGGTTTTCTATTTAGTGTAAAACATAAACAATCACAACGTACAAAATACTTTCAACAGTCCCAAGCAATAGCCTAATAAAGGCAATGTATGCGTCGAGTCAGTCATACTCATCGAAATATGCCTAAGACTATTTATTTAAATTGTAATATAGTATAAAGTACCCACATAAAAGTTGTGAATCTTCCAAGAATTTTAAAAAGAGGCCATCTCAAGTGGACGAATTTGCCTATGATTGTAATCAAGTGATGGCTGCGTACAATATCTTACATTGTACATATTGTAATATGTACAATGTACATACTTAGCCATAAAACATCTTGGCTAAGCGTCTTACCAAACATCGACAGTTTGTAATTATACTACTGGTGTATCGTATGATATGTTGCAGTTAAAGTACGCGGAATTCCTTTGCATCGTGTGTATGTATTTTGACAATTGTATAAAGTAGCATTCTCCTGACATGCACACCTGCTCTTTAATAAACCGATTAGTAAAATAGCTGTTTAAACAACAATTTTAAAAATCTTTGTCATTGATATTTATGTTCAACCACATTGCAAATGCAAGAGGTTGAACAATATCGTTTATTAAAGATCGTGGGGATAATATTTGCATATCCTTGAATGAGCCGTTATATTAATGTTGGTATAAGAATAGACCCCAGAACAGAGCCTTGTGGTACACCATACTTAACCTTTGCTCCACATTGATGAGGCTCCTCCGTCTGACCCTGGTCACATCGAACCAATCCTAATATAATAACAATGCATTTCGTTCAACCGCGAGCACAATGTATATGATTGTCTAATCGAACAGCAATGATAACCTTAACCTAAGTGATGCTTATAGATGAATTCGAGCTGTCTTTAGTTTAGCCGTATATTCTCTCTATGCATATTCTAGTGAACATTAAAAGTTTTAATTGTGCAATATAAGATTACACATGTGTAGTCTTATATTGCAGACTACATTTTATACGGAAGAACGGAGAATTTTATATGGATACGTATTTTTTAACTTTTAATAGATTGACCTCAAGATTACAAGAAATAACAAAACAAACTTATGTCTCTAGTATCAATGCTAAGATCATCTTCAGTAGTGAAAATTACAGATGTTTCGTAGTGTGACATTGGATCACATCTCTAGGTCAGAATTTTTAGCTATATAAAATCCATCTCAACTTATCTACCTTCGGCGTATCTCGGGTACAGTTAGAGTATGGTTGGTTACTGTTGAATGTTGTATTTCGTTTGCAATCGTTATTTTCCGTGTTATTTGTTTGAAACGTTCTACACACTCAACCATGATGGATCTTTAAAAAATAAATATTCTAATCTAGAGAACATTCATCTCCATTATCAACTCCACGGAATAACTATGGTTGATCTATACTGCAACGGATCGTTCCAACAGTAATACAAGTAACACATAGGTTTGACTGTTTTTTTAATAAAGTATTTTCATCTAGGACCAATGACAACCCTTTGCTTCAAGCAAGCGTGTCTACCACACACATACAGCTTAGTATATTTTCATCGAATAAATCATCATTCATTTATGATACACCTTATTTCGTATTTTGCATAATATTTTTTTAAAAACTTCTTTATCAGCATCGTACGTGTTATTAAATTACCCGAAAGCACAAAAATACGACAAATAACACTTATAATAATATATTTACACCTATACTGTTTACTCACAAGGCGGTAAATACATGTATTTGCCTATTGGGTCTGATGATGTCTTGATTGTCCAATCGAAATTGACCACTAACAACCATCTTTTATATGTATTTACCGTCTTGTGAGTAAACAGTATAAGTGTAAATATATTATTATATAAGTGTTTTTTTCACGTATTTTTTTGCTTTCAGGTAATATTTTTCCTAACGCGTCGTTCTTCCTGATGCAAACCAGGTGCATCAGCGTCTCGCTTGCTGTAGACTGTAGACTGTAGACTGTACAGTGTACACCTGTAGGTAGGTCGGGGTTGTAAAGTATTGGTGATTAGTCCGACAGCTTCCGAGTGGAAAATGACCGGTCTTCACTTGGAAATACACGAGCAGATGATGAATTGACGCCCGGTCCGCCACACCACGCTATTACAGCCGTTACGGTCAAATTATCGTTGTGATATTTATACAGGTGATTGCGATTTAGTCCAGAATACTTAATACTTTCAAGTGGACGATGACTCCTCGAATTTTTTCAGTAGCATTGAAAGATTCAAAATGCATTTTTCCTCCAGGGGCTAGCAAATATCCAGTTGTATGTTGAGGCGTATTTTAAAGACCAAGATCAATCATTGGGTTCCATTTGTCAAACAAGAAAGTGCCTTAATTAGTATTTGTGCTTACTCTGTCGATTACCATTCTTGGTTTTTAATGGATTCCTCAATACTTGCTACTTCACACCATCCATTATGAAACTGATGAGTTTTAGGTGTCTTTTGCCCGCGGCTCGACAGTGATGAAGGTACAAATCACTGATGGAATACTTCAGCTTTCTTTATTACATTACCAAATACATGTTTTAAGTATAGTGGGTCTTAAAAGATAGAGCCTCCTATGTACAGAACCAAACTTATAGTTTTTAGTCTTTTGTGCATTATTAAGAAGCAATGACAAAATAATATAAACTAATTAATCTATCGGGATGGGTTTTATTATGTTACTATGTCCGTAATGGTTACAAGCAATTTAGTGCTCAACTTGTCTATGACAGACATTCAGTATTGAGTCTGGATCTCTGAAAGACGCATGAAAATCATGTTATGATTGGGCTATATTACATCTTCAGTGAAAACAACCAACGCGTTTCTGTTGAGGTAGAGGCATACGCATATTATACTCGTTAATTGCCTATTCTCATGCATGATAAAAAAAACTACTTTTATGAATTAGGCTTGCTACAGGTCAACATTAACTAAGTAATAAATGTTTGAATGTGATTGGATTTCCTTAGGACTCTTAGGAGAGAAAACATTTAAGATCACAAGGTGTATTTTACACCAGATGCACTGTGTCGTTGTTTTCCGAAAATAATACTTTTACGTTTGAGAAGTAATGTAATTGTCCTGAGTATTTTTAAAAAAGCTAATTAAATTATTAAGAAATCTTTGCTTGTATTTAAATTCCACATGTTCATAGATAATTATTTTCTGCTGTACATATTTATGATTATTTTCAAAACTGATTATTGATTATTGAGTATCAGTGCTTCTAAGAGTGGAAAATGTTGCGCCAAACAAATATCAAGAATAATATGAATTCTTGTTCTTAGAGTATTTCTACAATCCTGTGATTACATCAATCATTTATCATTGGCGCAGTGAAGCATTCTCTTATACAACACTACGACGACGCACTAATCCACCGCGCATGTCTGTTACAAATCACCCCCGCAATCGCCGCGCAGAGATTGGCGTTGTTTTACTGTAACAAGGTGTTCTATGGCAACTATTAATAGAGCCATAACTGTCTGACCGAACCACATTTTCTCTTCTGTTCTCTCGTTAAAAAGTTGCTCTTTTGAACTATTTCATGCGCAGTGAGTAGTTTAGTAGTGGTTAGAAACTAACCTCAGTAGGGAATTAACTTTCTCGAGCATTCTTTACCATTGAGAAGTGCCGTTTAGTTTGCGGTTTCTAATTCGATTGTCGCTTGAAAGACGTTGGAAATTGGAAAATATTATTTTTTATTTGATTTGGTATTCACACAATGCCTGACTATGTTTTAGATTGTCAGATTATGTGGTGAATGTGGTGAACCATAAAGTTATGGTATATAGTCAATGATATAGTTCATCGTTTTACTAGTCTCTTTCATAAATTAAAACTAAAACTACTTAAATACTTAACACGTTTAACGTTTAACTATACTTAATATTAAATAAACATTTAAAAACCTCAAAACACTTGTAGAGATCCAGCTTAAAATGCTCAAAATGTTTATTATCATGTCAACATTGATAAAATATGATGACTATCTGCTATGACCGTGCATTGCACCAGGAAGAGTATAGTAGCGCAATGGGGTTCTTTATACCTTGTTGCATGAAATTATTAACCGTTTGAAATTACAATTTAAATGTGTAAATTGTAAATAACATAGCAGTTTTGGAAGTTAGTAGTGCGTAAGAGAGTTTCAAAATAAAATGGTGGTATATTTTTTAGGGGTAGTAATATTGGTCATATTTCTGTAAAGTTTCACTTGATATGGTCCAGTATTTTTTATGCGAGTCTCTGAGTAATGTGAGATACTCACCAAATTCAAAACATTTAAAATTAGTTAGTTAAGATGAGATTACAAAATTTCAATATCATAATTTATTTTTTATCAACAGGTTATCACGACTTTTTTACTACCTCTGCATCGATTGTTATTAACATCGATTTTTGTAATCGATGCTGTTCATTTTGAATTTCTTACCCTGTGCCACAGTCAAAGCCACGTACGATGACACTTCAGATAAAGCGGCTTAGTGTTGCACGGTCGCCCTTATGCGTATACACCTAGTTGCATTGTATTCAGTATGATATACGTGGATACAGGGAGGCGAAAGCTGCGTGTACTGTGACTGTATAGCGAGGTGGCAATGTCCATATCAGCGGCTATCGCAGATCTGACGGTCGGCGACCTCTACCACTGCAGATAGTGCACTACGCATGGTTTCACTTTCCAGCAGTATTTCAATGCGAGCGAGCACTCTTTAAGGTTTGTAAGTTGTACCCTGAATTTTAACAACGGTCTATCTAAAATTACTTGTTAACGTAACT